CTGAGGACGTAAAATAGAACTGAATACTTAACGTAGTAGACACTACGGCCCGCCATGATCTTCTACGTATTCAGGAAGCGCAGTACGGCCAGTCAATAAATTTAATTTTAAAAAGCGACGTTTTGACCGCTACAGCCGTCGTGGTGCTTTGAACTTGAGGCGTTGACGCGTGGCGGGAAAAAAATACTTCCCGTCACCGTACTAGACCCTTCCGTAGATGTTGCTTAAAAGTCCCTATTTTGATGTACAACAAGTGTAATTATGTGGTTTTTTATATGAGCCCAGTCGACCGCGTTGGTGTTTATTTCCAAGGTTTCACCTCACCACAATTGTCTTGTACTAGTGCAAATTAGTTTGATCTCTTCATGTTATTAGGCAATGGGATGTACAGTAATGGGCCTCAAAGGTCCCACGTGGGGCCCCTCCCTAACGGCCTGTTTACAGGAGGTGGGGGACCTCAGATAATCATGTAAACGTGATCAAATTAAAATGAGAGATTATATGGACAGGCGGGTTACCTCACCTACCCGGGGTCCCCCACCTCCATTTAGACAGGCCCTTAAGTTGGTTTGCCCACAATCCCATGACAGATGTACACTAGGGCTGGTAATAAACTGAAAAGAAAACGTTACGTTCCTAGAGAGTCAATTCGAGGAAAGGGTGGTAATGGGTATTACAGTCTCCCTCAAAAATCGAAGACAATTGTTATGCAAAATTTTGGGGGTATACAAGGTGCATTATAGTCTATGTGAAAACGGGTGAATAGACCATTTCGAGTTGCCTAAGTCTCTGCTTCAAAGCCAGGCTAAGTGCATATCTATATGAAATGATTTTAATTGTCTTGCAAAAAAAACTTATTTTCACAAGAAAGGTTTCGCCAGGAGTAAGCCTCATTTTGAAAGTGAGAATTTTTGGAATTTAGCTACGGCCTATTACATATCCTTTACGAATGGCATATATTTAATATCCTTAAGGGTGAGCGCTTACTGGAAAACCTTAAGGGTGGGCACCTATTTTATAAAGGATGGGCACTTAGAAAAAAACCTTTAGTTAATGTCTTGGGGGTGGCCACTTATTTAATAAACGTGAGAACGGGCGCATATCTAATAACCTTAAACTGGATAGATGCTTATAAAAAAAATGACATGTTCATACATCAGTAGTCACGTGCAGAGTTTATTGTGGTTTCAAAGCTGAACTGCTTTACATGAAAATGTTATTAGAGCCCTTAATTACGTCATTAATAATCACGTGACGCTTTTCAACTTGTTACTGAGACCGAGGAACTTCTTCAATGATCAAACGGGACACTGAAATCCAGCCTGTGTTGCCATCAGAATTTCCATATCCTGCACAATTTCCAATATTGATTCCAACTCGGATTTTGCCCTTGTGTATGTTGTTACAGTAGCCCTCAATGAACCCGGGTCTGTGGTTGTCTTCGTCTTTATTTCGGATCCACAGCACTGCGTCAATAGGCAGGGGACCACTGCACTCGGCTCCATTGAAAGTGATGAACCATCGCTTACAGCAGCCGCCACATCCTCCCAAATACAGGTTTCCCTGGTAAACAACACGAAGAGCTGTGTCATCCTTGGTTTTAGTGAAGTGACAATCCTGCAACAACAAATTAGTTCTGAACAATTATTTTCAGAGAAATTGTCATTATCAGGAGGGCATTATACACCCTACATTTCGTTATACTAGGCGAATATACCACTGCATGGACATCGTTCAACAATAACTAAAAAGGCAGGCGAAGCACAGTGGCTGGGATGATATTTTTATATGACGAGTATTTATTATGCTAACTGAACTATAGCTTTGATCACAGATAAATTAACAAGCCTTGATCAGTCCAATGTCACGAGTATCGTGACTCTTCCACGCGCACTGTTTCCAATTCAGATGATCAGTGTCTGTTCCACTTGGTCCCATTTCTCCCTTCATACCACGTGGTCCAGGGGGACCTGCCACGCCCTTTTCACCTTTAGCTCCATCTCGGCCGTCGCGGCCTGGTAACCCGTTATGTCCATTGACTCCGTTACGTCCGGGGAGGCCAGGGGATCCTTGCAAGCACGAGTTTGAGTTCTGTGTTAAATAAATTTCAAAAATAACAGTATACTCACTTGCACCTTGCACTTTTGAGCAAAATTTGGGTTCAGGTCAGTAATAAATGATTGACATTAAGCATAAACGAAGCTTAGCCAATCATCTGCCTTTTTAGATTCTTAGAGTCATCATTCTCTCTTGTTCTCTCTCGGAGAAGGGACGCTAAACAAAGAGATGTGCGTTTTGTAATAAATCCTTTCGTGGACTGACTTGATTGACCCAATGTCGTTCTTTGAGCGGAAGACAGGAGTGCCATTTATAATTTGCAAGCTGTGTTTTCAAACTCTCTTTTAAAAATATACATTTAAGAATATAATCTCGACACGAAGCTGTAATCTCAAAAGTATTTCAAAGTTGAAATTTTCGTTTTCACTTACGCCGATGCATGGAAAAATGTAGCCGCTACTTTTTGTAAGCCTTTATTACTAACAGACTCAACAACTTAAACCGTCTTTCAATCAGATTCGTTCTTCGCTCTTTTTTGCATAGTTTAAGAAAAGTCAATTCTGTGCGCTGATTTATCTTACCTTAGCGAAAGCGGTGGACGACACCGACAGAAAGAGTAGACACCAAACAAATAGATTTCCTTCTTTCATTTTGAGGGTACAAGAAAAACGCAAAACAAGCTACGAACTGAGGAAAGCGTGCGTTGAACTCCAACTGCACAAGACTTGTGGTGTTCTGTTTTGTGTGAAGTTAGAGACGAAGGATAAAAGTTCACTTTTTGAATTAATTGTAACGAAATTTTTCTTGTTGTGTGAGCACAATGGCATGTGCTGAGCGGCTGCCACGTTTACTGACCTTGAACAACTTAGTGCAATAACATCGAGCAGGAAGATAAGTATGTGCGATCACGATTATTAAACGTTCAAGTATGAAAAAATCTTTGCTCGATAAATCTCGATTAAAGCCAGGTGAGCAAATTAGTGAACTTAAAATAAATGTTCGTATTACACGAAATTCAAGTTCTTGAGCAGGTTTTGTCTCTTTGTCACCAGAATAAAATTGATAATAAACGTTTAAATTTGGGCAAGGACTTACTTTAGATCATTCATTAAGGTAAACCCAAATTTTCCAACATTTGATTTTGTTATGGTGTTTTAGGGAGCTTTCTTTACTTATAAAAGCCGTGACAGTATAATTTTGCTATTGTACTTCAAACAGCGCCATTTCACTATCTAATATACTTAAAAAAGAGGCCCTGTATATTATTATTTGCGATGTATCGCAGATCCGTATTGCTTCATGGCTTTGAAGCTTCCGTTCAGGCAAACTAAAAAACCAGACGAGCATTCTTACAACTTTAGACTGTTTTAATACTGGCAGAGTTGCTAAAAGTGCGGCTGAATGAGTGACCAGCGGGGGATTACCAAAAGGTAAAACAATTTTTTCCTCTTTCAACCTTAAGTTATTTCAGTATTGATAAGTTTAGCTTTTCCTGAGAGCAGAAAGTGAAATCTAGCTCCCAAATAGAGTTTTCGTCATGAAATGGTTACAATCATGTTTTCTGAAAAAGGTAATTAAAACTGGCCGAAAGTGAACTTTATTTTTTCTTATCGTTGATTTGGGCAATAATCCATTTTCGTGGATCAATTTCCGAGGCCTCAAGTCACGGATGCTTGCGCCAAGCATGTAAATTGCGGACTGCAAAGCACACGCTAAATAAACTTCAACATCGTGGTCCAGTTTCTCAGCGTTTTGATCTATTCAAAGGAATGTTGCTTCTGGGGAAATTGTTAATAATCGAAGCAACACAAACAGAGGATAGTAAGCCTGTTGTCGTTATTGCACAGAATGACCATTGAACAGCAAATACATCTTAACCTCATTCTCCAAGAGCTCTAAGGAACCATTAGATATTAATTATAAATAGATTTTGAGCGATTTTTCCTCATCAGTTCATGTCTCTTTTCTATCGTAATATATAAGCAGCTTGTTGTATATGTTACAGATCAAAATAAAAATCAGGTTTAAATTGTTTAACCTAGGTTGTTTCTCAATTTCTTTGTCTCCTGACAAAAGAAATTGAGGATCAACCTAGGCAAAAAAATTTTAACCTGATTTTAATTTTGACCTGTAACATATAAACTGAGTATGGTAATTTTTATCAAGACCCATGCCTCTACCAGAAGAATTCTGGTGATAACAAAAACATCTTTTAAGTTTTCAGTTAGATTCGCATCCTAGACACCCTGCTCATTGGATAATATTTAGCACCTCAAATTCTGTCTTGGAATTATCGACGACATACTTGAAAACGAGCAAATCAGTGCATAAATTTTAAACGGACGCTGAATCTTTCAAGAGCAGTTTCAAATCATCATACTCCACTCTCTGGACAACAGCTGTTGAATTGAGGGGTACTAGTAGCCTATGAATCGATTCCTTAATTTTCTTAAGTTCAGTTTTCGAGCTGTACGCGCTTATTAACACTCATGATTTTGGCACTATAGGAATTAACGAAGGCGGCTCCCGTTGTGGAAGTTGTGACTCAAACGCGATGTTTCTTCTATGAAATGTGTCGATTAAGTCTAGCTGTCTCGATGATATCAGCACGTCATTTGTTGGAGGGAAAGTGAGCAGGAAAGCATTCCTGTCAGTACAATTTATCAATACACCGTACTGAAGCATGATTTGAATACACATGCAGGATTGATCTTACTACACTCGTCTGTAATCGAACTATTAATCACAGTGTCGATTGTTGACTTACCTCAGTGAAGAGTAACTACAGCGGTTACAAATAATGTTCGCAGTTCGTGAAAGCCTCCATGAAACATGAAATAGATAGCCTTCAGTTATCGCGAAAAAATGAAATGGATAGAAAACTGAGTTAAAAAGGATTTTTTTGGTCAACTGAACCACGATGAAAAACAAAGGCCAAGTAGCATTTCGGTGAATTAATTACTGCGAATTTTTTCTTGTTTGTGATCATAACCAGACGATAAATCTGCCATATTTTGACTTTGTTCGCTTTGTTTAGTAGAAGTGTCAATGATATTATAGAAATACAATTACTGTGTAATTAAATGTTTTGCACCGTGAGATGTACTAAACGATATTCACGGAAGTGACCTCAACTCGTCATGAGCAAATATTTTGATGGACAACAAGTGTAAGTAAGGCATATTCATATGCGCCCAGTCGAGAGAATTGCTGTTTATTTTGCTAGCCTAAGAACAGGCTCTCTCATTGGGGAAAGGGTGAAAAAATCGCCGGGCAATAGAAAGGGGTAGAGCCTGTAGTGTAGCACGCGGTTTGGATAATCGCTTGTAAGCAGGTCTTCTGATCTTTAACACGTGTCACGACCGTCGCTGTTCTTCCACGCGCGCTGTTTCCAGTTTCTGTGATCAGTGGCTGTTCCACTTGGTCCCATTTCTCCTTTCTCACGGCCTGGTCCAGGGGGACCTACCACGCAGTTTTCACCTTTAGCACCGTCTTGGCCGTCGCGGCCAGCTAACCCGTTATGTCCATTGACTCCGTTACGTCCAGGGAGGCCAGGCGATCCTTAAAAGCACATGTTTGAGTTCTGTGTCAGAAGAGTTTAAAGAAATCAGAGGAGAAAAACACTCAGTTGCGCGCTTGGCATTTACAGCTATTTCGAGAAAGGTTGTCGGAAAAAATGTGCCTGCGACAATCCCGAAAGGTAGTGTGGGTGGTTTTGAGATCACTGTTCTTTAGAGAAATTTTAAAAGAATGGCACGAGAGGCTATGGACGTATGTTTGCGAGTGCTAAAGCGAAGCAGCAAAAGTAGGTACAGTGTCAGAAACAGTGTATTGATCGTATCCCAAACTACCTCTCGGGATTGTCACGTGCACTTTTTTTTCGACAACCTTTCTCGATGGGATATGATTGGTCAATACGCTGTTCCTGACACTGTAGCTGTCGAATCTTCTATGTTGCTTTCCTTTAGCACTCTTAAACACATGTCCATGGCCTCTCGTGCCATTCTTTCAAATTTCTTTGAAGAACAGTGAACTCAAAACCACTCACAATACCTTTCGGGATTGTGGCGTGCACTTTTCCGACAACCTTTCTCGAAATAGCTGTATACCTAACCTACGCAGCATTCAGAGCTCATGCAGTGTTAACTTCTTTGACAGACATTCTTGCACTCCTTGAACAAAGTTTGGCGTCTTCTAGTCTTGTGTTCCTAGTAGGAGAGGCCGCCCGAGGTAGGTTTTCCTGCAGTATTAGTTCAACAAACAATTAATTCTGATTTACTCTAAGTCTACTAAAGATTGGATTTTTCTTGCAGGAAAGCTTTACAGGTTTCGATAAAATTTAATTCTAGTAAAAAAAACTTTATATCACTTGAATTTAAAGAAACCGTCTTTTATCAGACTTTTGTCCACTTTTCTATCTGCAGCTGGCTGCAATATTTCTCGAGGCGTGGTATTATCTAGTATTAAGGCATTTTAGTCAACCGTGTATAACAAAACATACACAAACCTGTCATTGCTTTAGTTGCAGTTATAACTATGACGTGATGTAGACAAGGTAATTGAAGAGAACCTGCATCTCGATCAATGATCTACCCGGACTCCGGTTTCCACCTACACTGCGATGAAAGCTGATTGAAGTAGTATAGGGCCCATCGAATAAGCCATTTTCTGGGCTGTGTTAGCTCTCATAAAAGTGCACAGGAATACATAATTATCAACGACTTTATGTCAAGGAATCTCTTCCTCATGTTATATTTTTTTGTTGTGGCTGGTTTCAACGGTTTCACTTGTACGAGTTATTTAGATCAACGATAACTGAATTTAAGAAAAATGTTAACTATTCGCTTGGTGTTCCATAAGCTGCTTGGTTGGTTATCGATCGTAAATCGGTGTATGTGACAAACTAACGTAAATATGCAAGTGTTATGTTTCCTGCCACATTTTATCATTTTAATGTTCATGATTTCAGGGCCTTAGTTTTTTTGTACTTCAGTAGGATAAAGGCAAACTAATTTTTTTTTTTTACTAAGCACAATACATTGTTTAAGGCACTTGAATATCACTCATCTTTCTTCCTTTTAATTGTCTTAAGGGGAGAAGTTCTTACTCAAATGGTGTTATGAGTGTGTGAGCTACCGTGGAAAATTCGATTATTTGGAGATCCTAGTCGTTTGTTTCTTTGTGCTTTTTTTTTCTTTCGAAAAAAGACGATTATGGCATTTAGGGCATAAACGAAGGGAACTGTTTCTGCGGAATGCCCATTAGGACTGTGATTGGTCCAGTCACCTAAAATTGATTTTCCATATTTTGATTGAAGGCATGCTTTTTGGGATCAGATTGTAAGGTTTTAAATAGCGCAGTGAATATATAAATACTAGCCGCTTTTTAAGAAATTAATTTCTTTTGAATCGCTTTGAATGAAAGCTTGAAAATTATGATATTGTTGCCATTGTCATCAAACGATTAACAACTTTTGCTTAGAACTGACGTAAAAGTTGCGTTTCAATATCTTCCTCCCCAGACTCCTTCGCAGCACTGAAAATGGAAGAGGAGTGTTAACGCAAGCAAGAACCATGATGTGGGCAAGATTTCAAAAATTCCATCGCGATAAAAAAAAACACAATATCGACGTTTTAATGTTTATTTAACATGAAAAGGCATCTTCATACCTTCATAGTCACATGCTTGATATATTAAGGGTTTTAAGCTGACCTGGTTGACATGAAATGTGATTAAAAAAAGCGCCTTATTTTTATCCCTTTTCCTCTTAAGATTACTTTAACAACTAATGCGCAACAAAGTTTAAGCGACATGAAAAAAACACGTGATGGTCTCCAACTTGTTACTGGGACGGAGGAACTTTTTCAATGATAAAACGGGACACTGAATTCCAGCCTGTGTAACAATTGGAGTTCCCATACCCAACACAATTTCTAATGTTGATTCCAACTCGGATTTTGCCCTTGTGTATGTTGTTACAGTAGCCCTCGATAAACCCGGGTCTGTGGTTGTTTTCTCCAGTATTTCCGATCCACAGCACTGCGTCAATAGGCAGGGGGAGCACTGCACTCGGCGCCGTTAAAAGTGATGAACCATCTCTTGCAGCAGCCGCCACATCCTGTCAAATAGAAATTTCCCTGGAAAACAACAAGGAGGGCAGTATCATCCTTGGTTTTATTGAGGGAACAATCCTGCAACAAAAAATCAAAACTCCATTATTGGTTTTCTTGTTTACTTAAACGACATTTTTCATCCCGTAAGGATACCAGTGGACAAGAATATACCATCCTTTGTAAATGCACATTCTTAGTATCTAACAAAACCAAAGTTGACTGGAGCCGTTGATGGCGCTAATTTTAAAATCATCTTACCTTGATCAGTCCAATATCACTGGCGTCGTCGCTCTTCCACGCGCATTGTTTCCAGTTCCTGTGATCAGTGTCTGTTCCACTTGGTCCCATTTCTCCCTTCTCACCACGTGATCCAGGGGGACCTGCCACGCCCTTCTAACCTTTAGCTCCATCTCGTCCGTCGCGGCCTGGTAACCCATTATCCCCATTGACTCCTTTTCGTCCGGGGAGGCCAGGTGAACCTTGTAAACAGGTTCTAGAGTTCTGTTCACATCAGTTTTAAGAAAGGAATTAGAAATTAAAAAAGTATACCATTTTAGTCAAACTATACTGAATCCGCTTTCTTAGGAAGTGCTATCACTTTTATACTTTTGCCCTGAATGATCCCGAAAAAGTAAAAAAAAACTGAGATGTGCACACATTTAAGGCATCCTACTGATGAAAAGTTAAGACTTTTTGATATTTCGAGCAACAATAACTTGCCAGTTGTCCCCTTAAAACACATAACCGATCATGAGCCTTATTTACATTGTTGTCGAGGTTATCATGGTCCTGCAATCGAATCACTCCAAGGTTTCATCTTCAATAAACCCCTTCGTGGAGGGTAGTGATAGTGGATCGTGAGAATATCGTGCTTTGCGCGCGTAGCACTAGCGTTCGCCAATCTATTCATGATCAAGCGAAAAATTACAGCGGAAGACTTATCTTTATCTCTATCTACGTATGTTAGAACATGAAAAAATTAAAGTGGGGCAAACGTTCGTGGTTAATCTGATAAATAAACAATGATTCAAATCATATCTAAAAAAAGGAAAGAAGCACTGTTTCTTTCGACTCCATACAACTCATGTTCTCTATACTGCGCTGAAACAGTGGGAAATTTGTACAGTTTAATGCAAATGTATAATTCAGTCGAATTTTTCTCAATTACTATTTTACTAGTCCCACTGAGTCAATCTTACCTTGGCGATAGAGGATGCGTTATCAGTTGAGCACTTGGAAGATATCAACAGATAGAATAGAAAGCATCCCACAACACCTGTTACTTCCATTTGGAGGTTACACGAGAGACGAAAGAGAAGTGGAAACTGGGAAAACAGACCTCAAACGATAACACAAGTCTTGGGGTTCTGTGTTGAGTGCAGTGGAAGATGAGAACATAAATTCAATGTTTGTATCGATCGATTTCAACGAAAGCTACGTGTTGTGAAGAGAAACACGTACGGTAACTTGATCACAGCTTAATCTCTTAATCTTGCTTTAACCGAGGTGGAAGAGGACGTGTTATTATAACACCATGCGCATGAGTCAAAAGTTTGACTTAAGCTTAGCTGACGCACGTTGATAGCCGACGCACGTTTTCACTAAAGAGAATGATGGATTACTGACTAAAACGCTAAAGTTAACATCTAGCATTTTTTTGTTCGACTTGTTCAGTAATCTACTAAGACATCATCCACCAAAAGAGCGGAGGAACTGTGTTTTTACACTCTGTTTACAACAGTGTTTAATTTTGGGTATTTTACATACATACATACATAAACTTTATTAAAGTGTCAAGGTATTTAGCTATAAAAGCTAATTGTGGACACTATAAATAAATAAAATGAATATAATATAAGATTAAATCAAGTATATGTATTCTTTGATCGTTTTTGTTGGCGATAAAACCTTACACGCAATATTGCAACCATTTTTTACATGTCTAGCGAATCAGGTGTTGGTTAACTAGCCTGTGAAAGATCCGTTTCTCCTTCGCTCTTCTCCTCGCGAAACGTCCCCAGCGGCGAAGAGCGAAGGAGAAACGGATGCTTTCGCAGGCTGTTGGTTAACTAGCTCGTAGTCTAACGTGATTTGTTGCCTACGTGCACGTGGGAGGCGTTAGGAGGGAAGGGAACTGTGGGAATTGATGCGCGCAGGTACATAAAGAGCGTCCCTTTTCCTCGGGCCCCTTTCTTCTCATTTCCCCCTTCAGAAGCCTCGCAGTTTACGTGATCAGGACATCGTGCAGTTGGAGAGAATAATAACTCCTTTTATTGAAAACAGTGTGTGTCTTATCCCGAACTCAGGTCTCACTCTATCTTATGCTGAAAGAACTGGGTACGAGATTAGTTTGTACCTTTTTTACAAATTAAAATGGGAAATTAGCCCCTTAAAGAATTTCCGTTGGTGGAAAAATGGGCAGAAATCATATATCAATGCAATTCATTAATACCCTGCACTGCGTGATTGGATGAACCAGGATTGTTAATACAACACATTCGTTATAAAAAATGGAAATTAATCACAAGGCCGATTGAAGAGTATATTGATTATTGAAGACAGTTCCTGTACTTCTCCAGAAACCATGTGAAATTAATAGCCTTAGTTATCGAGAAAGAGTGGGGAGTTAAAAAAAAAAAACAAAAAAAAAAAACCAAAGGTTTGCTTTTGGTTAACCATCTTTGAAGAAAAACAAAGGTCAAGTTACAGTTTTTAAAATAATTACTATGAAATTTTCTTGGTATTTAGCCATGACGAGACGATCCTTCACGATAAATACGCAGTGTTTTAATTTTTTTCGCTTTGTTTACTTAAAGGCAAGTGTGAGTTCAGTCGATCGGTTTGCAGTTTATGTCCAAGGCCTTACCTCGCAACCTTTTCGCTGTATCTCAAGGAGTTTATATATCCATTTATACGCGCGTTCTGATTGGCTGAGAGGCGTGTTTTCATGAGAGTCCGTCGCGGGTTTGCATCACCCTTTTGGTGTTTATATCAGGCTATGCGATCACGCATAACTTAAACCATTAACCGATTGAATGCTAATTATGTTTCTCATGCAAGGTAATCCTCTATACCCTTACCTACAACCCCATGACACTTACATATACACTAGGCCGGGCAACTGACAGAGCTTGTTGCATCTTTCGGGGTTCTTTATTTAACGTACCACAAGAGTCATAGTTCTCAAGAGTCAAGTTCTGTGAGAAGGAGCGTGGTTAAAGAAGGGCGCATATTTAATAACCTTAAGGATGAGTACATATTTGATCACCCTGAGGATGGATGGAGCTTAATCTTGAGGATAGCTGGTTATGCAAAAATAACAGTTTCATTCACCAGTAGTCACGTGCTGAGTTTATTGTGGCATTTAAACTGAACTGCTTTACATGCAAATGTCATAAAAGTCCTTAATTCTTAGTTCTTTTCCACTTTGAAATCACTTATCTGGAGAATCTTTAAGCGTCATAACTAATAATCACGTGACGGTTGCCAACTTGTTACTGGGACCGAGGGACTTCTTCAATGATCAAACGGGACACTGAATTCCAGCCTGTATAACCATCAGAATTTCCATATCCTGCACAATTTCCAATATTGATTCCAACTCGGATTTTGCCCTTGTGTATGTTGTTACAGTAGCCCTCAATGAACCCGGGTCTGTGGTTGTCTTCGTCTTTATTTCGGATCCACAGCACTGTGTCAATAGGCAGGGGACCACTGCACTCGGCTCCATTGAAAGTGATGAACCATCGCTTACAGCAGCTGCCACACCCTCCCAAATAGAGGTTTCCCTGGTAAACAACACGGAGGGCAGTGTCATCCTTGGTTTTAGCGAACTGACAATCCTACAACAACAAATTAGTTCCGAACAATTATTTTCAGGGAAATTGTCATTATCAGGAGCCCATCATACACCCTACATTTCGTTTAAATAACCTAATTTTATCCTATGCGGATATAACACTGCATGGACAAGGTTCAACAATAACTAAAAAGGCAGGTGAAGCACAAAGGCTGGGATGATATTTTTATATGACGATTATTTGTTATGCTAACTGAACTATAGCTTTGATCACAGATAAATTAACAAGCCTTGATCAGTCCAATATCACGACCATCGCTACTCTTCCACGCGCACTGTTTCCAGTTCCTGTGATCAGTGTCTGTCCCACTTGCTCCCATTTCTCCCTTCGCACCAAGTGATCCTGGTGTACCTGTCACGCCCTTTTCACCTTTAGCACCATCTCGGCCGTCGCGGCCTGGTGACCCGTTATGTCCATTGACTCCGTTACGTCCGGGGAGGCCAGGGGATCCTTGCAAGCACGTGCTTGAGTTATAAGTTATACAAATGTTTAAAAATAATAGTATACGCACTCGTACCTCGCACTTTTGAGCAAAATTTGTGTTCAGGTCAGTAATAAATGATTGACATTAAGTATAGAAGAAGATCAGCCAATCATCTGCCTTTTATAGATTCTTAGAGCCATCATTCTCTCTTGTTCTCTCTCGAAGAAGTGACATTAGCACAAGAGATGTGCGTTTTGTAAAAAATCCTCTCGTGGACAGACTTGATTGACCCAATGTGGTTCTTTGAGCGGAAGACAGGAGTGCCAATTATAATTTGGAAGCTGTGGTTTCAAACTCTATTTTAAAAATATGCATTTTTAGAAAATAAAAGCTCGACACGTAGCTCTAATCTCAAAAGTATTTCAAATATGAAATTTTCGTTTCCACTTACGCTGATGCATGGAAAAATCTCGCCGCTAATTTTTGTAAGCCTTAATGACTAACAGACTCAACAACTTAAACCGTCTTTCAATCAGATTCGTTCTTCGCTCTTTTTTGCGTAGTTTAAGAAAAGTCAATTCTGTTCGCTGATTTATCTTACCTTAGCGAAAGCGGTGGACGACACCGACAGAAAAACAAATAGATTTCCTTCTTTCATCTTGAGGGTACAAGAAAAACGCAAAACAAGTTACGAACTGAGGAAAGCGTGCTTTGAACTCCAACTGCACAAGTCTTGTGGTGTTCTGTTTTGTGTGAAGTTGGAGACGAAGGATAAAAGTTCACTTTTTGAATTAATTGTAACGAAATTTTTCTTGTTGTGTGAACACAATGGCATGTGCTGACCGACTGCCACATTTACTGACCTTGAACAACTTAGTGCAATAACAGCGAGCAGGAGGATAAGTGTGTACGGTGACGATTATTGAACGATAAATCTCGATTAAAGCCAGGCGAGCAAATTAGTGAAATTAAAATAAATGTTCGTATTCCACGTAATTCAAGCTCTTGAGCAGGTTTTTTCTCTTTGTCACCAGAATAAAATTGATAATATATAGATTTAGCCAGGGGTAAAAGCGAAGCTCTCGATAATATTTATAGTTTGCTCATAGAAAATATAAAATCATGTTATGGTAAGCGGCGAACGCAACCAGAACGGTGGAAAAAAAAACAATAGGCCTAATTAGCAAAAAAACAACTTTGCAGGTGTAGCACATTTTTTTGTACATTTCTTTGCCATCGTTTTGCACGACCACAACGTGAACTTCCTAGTTACACGTTTTATGGAGAAAATGTCGTACCTGTTGTTGTTCAATTCTTTTCACTCGCTCATTTTTACTTTGGTGGCCGCTAGGATTTCTCCTTTTCTCACTGCCCTTAAAAATTTTCATGTTGTTCTTCCAACAAATAGCTCCTTATCTTCCGCTCTAGCTGTCTGTCGCTTTTTTTCTCGTTGAAATTCGCCTGCCTGTCGCCCACTTTATTTTTTCTCTATATTCCAAATTTGTGGACATGACAATTAATCTTACTTTAGACAACAAGGATACAGAAACAATTTCCGCTTTCCGTTTTCCTCTTTATTGACTCTTTAGTTGTCTCTGCTTCACAGGACGCGGGTGGCTATGCGATTTCCCGCCAAAATAAACTCGAGTTGCATTTCGGTTGCCATACCTGTTGGCCGAGTTATTTTTCATTGGTATTCCTGTGGTGCGGACGGACGGTCGGGCGTACGGTCACGTGATTACCAAAATTTCTCGGATGGGTAGATAACCAAATTTTCTTACCCATGGTGCTCCGCTTCGCGCGCTTCGCGCGCGTGGAGCTCCGCTAATAAACGTTTAAATTTGAGCAAGGACTTAGACAATTCATTAAGGTAAACCCAAATTTTCCAACATTTGATTTTGTTATGGTGGTTTAGGGAGCTTTCTTTACTTATAAAAACCGTGACAGTATAATTTGCTATTGTACTTCAAACAGCGCCATTTCACTGTCTGATAAAAATATACTTATAAAAGAGGCCGTGTATATTTTGTATATTATTATTTGCGATGTATCGCAGATCCTTATTGCTTCATGGCTTTGAAGCTTCCGTTCAAGCAAACTAAAAAACCAGACGAGCATTCTTATAACCTGAGACTGTTTTAATACTGGCAGAGTTGCTAAGTGCGGCTGAATGAGTGACCAGCGGGGGCTTACCAATAGGTAAAACAATTTTTTCCTCGTTCAACCTTAAGTTATTTTAGTATTGATAAGTTTAACTTTTCCTGAGCGCAGAAAGTGAAATCTAGCTCCCAAATAGAGTTTTCGTCATGAAATGGTTACAATCATGTTTTCTCAAAAGGTAATCAAAACTGGCCAAAAGTAAATTTTATTTTTTCTTATCGTTGATTTGGGCAATAATCTTTCTTCGTGGATCAATCTCCGAGGCCTCAAGTCACGGATGCTTGCGCCAAGCATGTAACTATTGCGGTCTGCAAAGCATAAAATAAACTTCTACATCGTGGTCCTGTTTCTCAGCGGTTTGATCTATTCAAAGGAATGTTGCTTCTGTGCGGGGAAATTGTTAATAATCGAAGCAACACAAACAGAAGATGGTAAGCCTGTTGTCGTTATTGTGAACAGCAAATACATCACCTCATTCTCCAAGAGTTCTAAGGAATTATTAGGTATTAATTATAAATAGATTTTGAGCGATTTTTCCTCATCAGTCAGAGTTCATGTGTCTTTTTTATCGTAATATATAAGCAGCTTGTTATATATGTTACAGATCAAAATAAAATTCAGGTTTAAATTGTTTAACCTAGGTTGATTCTCAATTTTCTTTGTCCCCTAGCCCTAATTATTCATGAATTAGGGCTGGGAGACAAAAGAAATTGAGAATCAACCTAGGTTAAAAAATTTTAACCTGTTTTTAATTTTGACCTGTAACATATATACTGAGTATGGTAATTTTTATCAAGACCCATGCCTCTACCAGATAACAAAAACATCTTTTGGGTTTTCAATCAGATTCGATCCTAGACACCCTGCTCATTGGATAATATTTAGCATCTCAAATTCTGTCTTGGAATTATCGACGACATACTTGAAAACGAGAAAATCAGTGCATAAATTTTAAACGGACGCTGAATCTTTCAAGAGCAGTTTCAAATCATCATACTCCACTCTCTGGACAACAGCTGTTGAATTGAGGGATACAAATGGCCTATGAATCGATTCCTTAATTTTCTTAAGTTCAGTTTTCGAGCTGTACGCGCTTATTAACCCTCATGATTTTGGCACTGTAGGAATTAACGAAGGCGGCTCCCGTTCAATGGAAATTGTGACTCAAATGCGATGTTTCTTCTATGAAATCTGTCCATTAAGTCTAGCTGTCTCGATGATATCAGCACGTTATTTGTTGGAGGGAAAGTGAGCAGGAAACATTCCTGTCAATACAATTTATCAATACATCGTACTGAAGCATGATTTGAATACACATGCAGGATTGATCTTACTACACTCGTCTGTAATCGAACTATTAATCACAGTGTCGATTGTTGACTTACCTCATTGAAGAGTAACTACAGCGGTTACAAATAATGTCCGCAGTTCGTGAACGCCTCCATGAAACATGAAATAGATAGCCTTCAGTTATCGCGAAAAAATGAAATGGATAGAAAACTGAGTTAAAAAGGTTTTTTTGGTCAACTGAACCACGATGAAAAACAAAAGCAAAGTAGCATTTCGGTGAATTAATTACTGCGAATATTTTCTTGTTTGTGATCATAACCAGCCGATAAATCTGCCATATTTTGACTTTGTTTGCTTTGTTTAATAGAAGTGTCAATGATATTATAAAAATACAATACAATTGTGTAATTGAATTTTTTGCACCGTGAGCAAGATATTCACGGAAGTGACCTCAACTAGTCTTGAGCAAATATTTTGATGTACGAGTGTAAGTAAGGCTTATTCATATGAGCCCAGTCGAACGCATTGCTGTTTAATTTGCTAGCCTAAGAACAGGCTCTCTAATTGGGGAAAGGGTGAAAAAATCGCCGGGGAATAGAAAGGGGAAGAGCCTGTAGGCAAACTTTGGGATCGCTGTTCCACGGCACCCACTGTGCACTCAGATTCTGATGCAAGCTCCTATTGGCCAGAACCGACTGACTGTTTGACACGTTTGGATTTGAATAATCGCTTGCAAACAGGTCTTCTGATCTTCAACACGTGTCACGACCGTCGCTGTTCTTCCACGCGCACTGTTTCCAGTTTCTGTGATCAGCGGCTGTTCCACTTGGTCCCATTTCTCCTTTCTCACGGCCTGGTCCAGGGGGAACTACCACGCAGTTTTCACCTTTAGCACCATCTCGGCCTTCGCGTCCTGGTAACCCGTTATGTCCATTGACTCCGTTACGTCCAGGGAGGCCAGGGGATCCTTGAAAGCACGTGTTTGAGTTCTGTGTCAGAAGAGTTTAAAGAAATAAGAGGAGAAAAACAATTGCACGCTTGACATTTACAGCTATTTCGAGAAAGGTTGTCGGAAAAAATGTGCCTGCGACAATCCCGAAAGGTAATATGGGATATGATTGTTCAATACGCTGTTCCTGACACTGCAGCTGTCGAATCTTCTATCTTACTTTCCTTTAGCACTCTCAAACACATGTCCATGGCCTCTCGTGCCATTCTTTCAAATTTCTTTGAAGAACAGTGAACTCAAAACCACCCACAATACCTTTCGGGATTGTGGCGTGCACTTTTCTGACAACCTTTCTCAAAATAGCTGTATACCTAACCTACGCAGCATTCAGAGCCCATGCAGTGCTAACTTCTTTGACAGACATTCTTGCACTCCTTGAACAAAGTTTGGCGTCTTCTAGTCTTGTGTTCCTAGTAGGAGAGGCCGCCCGCGGTAGGTTTTCCTGCAGTATTAGTTCAACAAGCAATTAATTCTGATTTACTATAAGTCTACTAAAGATTGGATTTTTCTTGCAGGAAAGCTTTATAGGTTTCGATTAAATTTAATTCTAGTTAAAAAAAAACTTTATATCACTTGAATTTAAAGAAACCGTCTCTTATCAGACTTTTGTTCACTTTTCTATCTGCAGCTGGCTGCAATCTTTCTCGAGGCGTGGTATTATCTAGTATTAAGGCATTTTAGTCATCCGTGTATAACAAAACATACACAAACCTTTCCTTGCTTTAGTTGCAGTTATACCTGTGACGTGATGTAGACAAGGTAATTGAAGAGAACCTGCATCTCGATCAATGATCTACCCGGACTCCGGTTTCCACCCACACTGCGATGAAAGCTGATTGAAGTAGTGTAGGGCCCACCGAATCAGCCGAATAAGCCATTTTCTGGGCTGTGTTAGCTCTCATAAAAGTGCACAGGAATACATAATTATCAACGACTTTATGTCTAGGAATCTCTTTCGTCATGTTATATTTTTTGTTGTGGCTGGTTTCAACGGTTTCACTTGTACGAGTTATTTAGATCGACGATGACTGAATTTAAGAAAAATGTTAACTATTCGTTTGGTTTTCCATAAGCTGCTTGGTTGGTTATCGATCGTAAATCGGTGTATGTGACAAAAACCAGTAAACGTACAAACGTAATTATGTAAGTGTTATGTTTCCTGCCACATTTTATCATTTCAATGTTCATGATTTCGGGGCCAAAGTCTTTTTGTACTTCAGTAGGATAAAGGCAAACTAATTTTTTTTACTAAGCACAATACATTTTTTAGGCACTTGAATATCACTCATCTTTCTTCCTTTTAATTATCTTAAGAGGAGAAGTTCTTACACAGATGGTGTCATGAGTGTGTGAGCTACCGAGGATAAATCAATTATTTGGAGATCCTAGCCGTTTGTTTCTTTGTGTTTTTTTCTTTCGAAAAAAGACGATTATGGCATTTAGGGCATAAACGAAGGGAACTGTTTCTGCGGAATGCCCATTAGGACTGTGATTGGTTCAGTCACCTAAAATTGATTTTCCATATTTTGATGGAAGGCATGCCTTTTTGGATCAGATTGTAAGGTTTTAAATAGCGCAGTGAATATATAAATACTAGGCGCTTTTTAAGAAAGTAATTTCTTTTGAATCGCTTTGAATGAAAGCTTTAAAAGTATGATATTGTCGCAATTGTCATCAAAAGATTAAAACTTTCGCTTAGAACTGACGTAAAAGTTGCGTTTCAATACCTTCCTCCCCAGACTCCTTCGAAGCACTGAAAATGGAAGAGGAGTGTTAACGCAAGCAAGAACCATGATGTGCGCAAGATTTCAAAAATTCCATCGCGATTAAAAAAAAACCACAATATCGACGTTTTAATGTTTATTTAACATGAAAAGGCATCTTCATACCTTCATAGTCACATGCTTGATATATTAAGGGTTTTAAACTGACCTGGTTGAAATGAAATGTCATTAAAAAAGGCACCTTATTTTTATCCCTTTTCCTCTTAAGATTACTTTAATAACTAATGCGCAACAAAGTTTAAGCGACATGAAAAAAAAACAAGTAATGGTCTCCAACTTGTTACTGGGACGGAGGAAGTTCTTCAATGATCAAACGAGACACTGAATTCCAGCCTGTTTGACCATTGGAGTTCCCATACCCTTTACAATTTCCAATGTTGATTCCAACTCGGATTTTGCCCTTGTGTATGTTGTTACAGTAGCCCTCGATAAACCCGGGTCTGTGGTTGTTTTCTCCAGTATTTCCGATCCACAGCACTGCGTCAATAGGCAGGGGACCACTGCACTCGGCGCCGTTAAAAGTGATGAACCATCGCTTGCAGCAGCCGCCACACCCTGACAAATAGAGGTTTCCCTGGTAAACAACACGGAGAGCAGTGTCATCCTTGGTTTTATTGAAGGAACAATCCTGCAACAAAACATCAAAACCCCATTATTGGTTTTCTTGTTTACTTAAACGACCTTTTTCATCTCGTAAGGATACCAGTGGACAAGAATATACCATCCTTTGTAAATGCACATTCTTAGTGTCTAACAAAACCAAAGTTGACTGGAGCCGTTGATGGCGCTATTTTAAAACCATCTTACCTTGATCAGTCCAATATCACTGGTGTCGTCGTTGTTCCACGCGCATTGTTTCCAGTTCCTGGGATCAGTGTCTGTTCCACTTGGTCCCATTTCTCCCTTCTCACCACGTGATCCAGGGGGACCTGCCACCCCCTCTCACCTTTAGCTCCATCTCGTCCGTCGCGGCCTGGTAACCCATTATGCCCATTGACTCCGTTACGTCCGGGGAGGCCAGGTGATCCTTGTAAACAGGTTCTAGAGTTCTGTTCACATCAGTTTTAATAACGGAATTAGAAATTTAAAAAGCTTGCCAATTTAGTCAAACCATACTGAATCCGCTTTCTCAGGAAGTACTATCATTTTTATACTTTTTCCCTGAATGATCCCGAAAACTTAAAAAAAAAAACAAAAAAAACTGAGATGTGCACACATTTAAGGCATCCCACTTATGAAAAGTTAAGCCTTTTTGATATTTCGAGCAACAATAACTTGCCAGTTGTCCCCTTAAAACACATAATCGATCATGAGCCTTATTTACAATGTTGTCGAGGTTATCATAGTCCCGCAATCGAATCACTCGAAGGGTTCATCTTCATTAAACTCCTTCGTGGAGGCTAGTGATCGTGGATCGTGAGAACATCGTGCTTTGCGCTCGTAGCACTAGCGTTCGCGAATCTTTTCATGATCAAGAGAAAAATTACTGCGGAAGACTTATCTTTATCTCTATCTACGTATGTTAGAACATGAAAAAATTAAAGTGGGGCAAACATTCTTGGTTAATCTGATAAATAAACAATGATTCAAATCATATCTAAAAAAAGGGAAGAAGCACTACTTCTTTCGACTCCATACAACTCCGGCTCTCTATACTGCGCTGAAACAGTGGGAAATTTGTACAGTTTAATGCAAATGTATAATTCAGTCGAATTTTTCTCAATTACTATTTTACTAGCCCCACTGAGGAAATCTTACCTTGGCGATAGAGGATGCGTTATCAGTTGAGCACTTGGAAGATATCAACAGATAGAATAGAAAGCATCCCACAACACCTCTTACTTCCATTTGGAAGTTATAAGAGAGACGAAAGAGAAGTGGAAACTGGGAAAACAGACCTCAAACGATAACACAAGTCTTGGGGTTCTGTGTTGAGTGCAGTGGAAGATGAGAACATAAATTCAATGTTTGTATCGATCGATTTCAACGAAAGCTACGTGTTGTGAAGAGAAACACGTACGGTAACTTGATCACAGCTTAATCTCTTAATCTTCCTTAAACCGAGGTGGAAGAGGCCGAGTTATTATAACACCATGCGCATGGCTCAAAAGTTTGACTTAAGCTGAGCTGACGCACGTTGATAGCCAACGCACGTTTTCAGGAAAGAGAATGATGGATTACGGGCTAAAACGCTAAAGTTAAGATCTAGTATTTTTTTGGTCGACTTATTCAGTAATCTTCTAAGACATCATCCACCAAAAGAGTGGAAGAACTGTGTTTTTATTGACAACAGTGTATAATTTTGGGTATTTTGATCGTTTTTGCTGGCGATAAAACCTTACACGCAATATTGCAACCATTTTTTACATGTCTAGCGAATCAGATGTTGGTTAACTAGCCTGCGAAAGATTCGTTTCTCCTTCGCTCTTCTCCTCGCGAAACGTCCCCAGCGGTGAAGAGCGAAGGAGAAACGGATGCTTTCGCAGGCTGTTGGTTAACTAGCTCGTAGTTTAACGTGATTTGTTGCCTACGTGCACGTGGGAGGCGTTAGGAGGGAAGGGAACTGTGGGAATTGATGCGCGCAGGTACATAAAGAGCGTCCCTTTTCCTCGGGGGTCTTTCTTCTCATTTTCCCCTTCAGAAGCCTCGCAGTTTACGTGATCAGGACATCGAGCAGTTGGAGAGAATAAGAACTCCTGTTATTGAAAACAGTATGTGCCTTATCTCGAACTCAGGTCTCACTCTGTCTTATGCTGAAAGATCTGGGTACGAGATTCGTTTCTACCTTTTTTACAAATTAAAATGGGAAATTAGCCCCTTAAAGAATTTCAGTTGGTGGAAAAATGGGCAGAAGTCGTATTTCAATGCAATTCATCAATACCCTGCACTGCGTGATTGGATGAACCAGGATTGTTAATACAAAACATTCGTTATAAAAAATGGAAATTAATCACAAGGCCGATTGAAGAGTATATTGATTATTGAAGATAGTTCCTGTACTTCTCCAGAAACCATGTGAAATTAATAGCCTCAGTTAGCGAGAAAGAGTGGGGAGTTTAAAAAAAAAAAGAAAAAACAGGTTTGCTTTTGGTTAACCAACTTTGAAGAAAAACAAAGGTCAAGTTAAAGTTTTTAAAATAATTACTATGAAATTTTCCTGGTATTTAGCCATGACCGGACGATCCTTCACAATAAATACGCAGTGTTTTAATTTTTTTCGCGTTGTTTAGTTAAAGGCAAGTGTGAGTTCAGTCGATCGGTTTGTAGTTTATGTCCAAGGCCTTACCTCGCAACCTTTTCGCTGTATCTCAAGGAGTTTATATATCCATTTATACGCGCGTTCTGATTGGCTGAGAGGCGGGTTTGCATGAGACTCCGTCGCGGGTTTGCATCATCACGCATAACTTAAACCATTAACCGATTGAATGCTAATTATGTTTCTCATGCAAGGTAATCCTCTACCCTTGCCTACAACCCCATGACACTTACATATACACTAGGCCGGGCCACTGACAGAGCTTGTAGCATCCCTCGGGGTTCTTTAACTTACCACAAGAGTCATAGTTCTCAAGAGTCAAGTTCTGTGAGAAGGACCGGATTAAAGAAGGGCGCATATTTAATAACCTTAAGGATGAGTACATATTTGATCACCCTGAGGATGGATGGAGTTTAATCTTGAGGATGGCTGGTTATGCAAAAATAACATTTTCATTCACTAGTAGTCACGTGCTGAGTTTATTGTGGCATTTAAACTGAACTGCTTTACATGCAAATGTCATAAAAGTCCTTTTAAATTCTTAGTTCTTTTCCACTTTGAAATCACTTATCTGGAGAATCTTTAAGCGTCATAACTAATAATCACGTGACGGTTGCCAACTTGTTACTGAGACCGAGGAACTTCTTCAATGATCAAACGGGACACTGAATTCCAGCCTGTGCTGCCATCGGAGTTTCCATATCCCCCACAATTTCCAATGTTGATTCCAACTCGGATTTTGCCCTTGTGTATGTTGTTACAGTAGCCCTCAATGAACCCGGGTCTGTGGTTGTCTTCGTCTTTATTTCGGATCCACAGCACTGCGTCAATAGGCAGGGGACCACTGCACTCGGCTCCATTGAAAGTGATGAACCATCGCTTACAGCAGTTGTTACAACCTCCAACAGCTACGTTTCCCTGGTAAACAACCCGGAGAGCAGTGTCATCATTGGTTTTAGCGAACTGACAATCCTGCAACAACAAATTAGTTCTAAACAATTATTTTCAGGGAAATTGTCATTATCAGGAGGGCATTATACACCCTACATTTCGTTTAAATAACCTAATTTTATCCTATGCGGATATACCACTGCATGGGCAACGTTCAACAATAACTAAAAAGGCAGGTGAAGAACAGTGGCTGAGGTGATATTTTCATATGACGAGTGTTTGTTATGCTAACTAAACCATAGCTTTGATCACAGATAAATTAACAAGCCTTGATCAGTCCAATGTCACGGTTGTTGTTGTTCTTCCACGCGCACTGTTTCCAGTTCCTGTGATCAGTATCTGTTCCACTTGCTCCCATTTCTCCCTTCGCACCACGTGATCCAGGGGCGCCAGCCACACCCTTTTTACCTTTAGCACCATCTCGGCCGTCGCGGCCTGGTGACCCGTTGTGTCCATTTACTCCGTTACGTCCGGGGAGGCCAGGGGATCCTTGCAAGCACGTGTTTGAGTTCTGTGTTGCATAAATGTTCAAAAATAATAGTATATTCACTTGTACCTTCTTTTTTTTTTAAGCAAAATTTGGGTTCAGGTCAGTAATAAATGACTGACATTAAGTATAGAAGAAGCTCAGCCAATCATCTGCCTTTTATAGATTCTTAGAGTCAGCATTCTCTCTTGTTCTCTCTCGAAAAAGTGACATTAGCACAAGAGATGTGCGTTTTGTAAAAAATCCGTTCGTGGACAGACTTGATTGACACAAAAGGCGTTCTTTGAGCGCAAGACAGGCGTGCTAATTATAATTTGGAAGCTGTGTTTTCAAACTCTCTTTATAAAATATGAATTTAAGAAAATAAAAGGTCAACACGTAGTCCTAATCTAAAAAGTATTTCAAATCTGAAATTTTCGTTTCCACTTACGCTGATGCATGGAAAAATCTCGCTGCTACGTTTTGTAAGCGTTTACGACTAACAGACTCGACAACTTAAAACGTGTTTCAATCAGATTCGCTCTTCGCTCTTTTTTGCATAGCTTAAGAAAAGTCAATTCTGTGCGCTGATTTATCTTACCTTAGCGAAAGCGGTGGACGACATCGACAGAAAAAGTAAACACCAAACAAATAGATTTCCTTCTTTCATCTTGAGGGTACAAGAAAAACGGAAAACAAGTTACGAACTGAGGAGAGCGTGCGTTGAACTCCAACTGCACAAGTCTTGTAGTGTTCTGTCTTGTGTGAAGTTGGAGACGAAGGGTAAAAGTTCACTTTTTGAATTAATTTTAACGAAATTTTTCTTGTTGTGTGAACACAATGGCATGTGCTGACCGACTGCCACGTTTACTGACCTTGAACGACTTTCTGCAATAACAGCGAGCAGGAGGATAAGTGTGTACGATCATGATTATTGAACGTTTCAAGTATGAAAAAAATCTTTGCTCGATAAATCTCGATTAAAGCCAGGTGAGCAAAATTAAATTAGTGAACTTAAAATAAATGTTCGTATTCCACGAAATTCAAGCTCTTGAGCAGGTTTTATCGCTTTGTCACCAGAATAAAATTGTTAATAAACGTTTAAATAGACCTTTTCACGCCATCTTGACGAGTGGGCAAACGCGTGAGAAATTACAGTGTTTGTATGAGAACCTAATGTCGATTAATTTCCGTAGAATGGCGGTTCTGAAAAAAATATGATTT